TTAATTAAAAAATAAAGAATGTAATAAATTAATGACTGAAAATATTAAAATTTTAGAAAATTAAATCAACAAACTGTAAACAACGTGAAGAATAATTCTGAAAATTTTCAAAAATAATAAAGTAGATAGGAAACTGAAAGGAAAGAAAGCACATTGAAAAGTGAAGTGAACTTTGATTATAATATTTAGAATCTATTTGTTAGTGATTTTGAAAATTGATTTTTTGATCGTTAGAAAAAAAGTTGAGTCCACCTGTGAGAAAATAAATCAAATATGACGGTTGAAATAATGAAATAACGATCAAAAAATTAATTTTTTAGACCAAAAAATCACTCCCAAACAGACTCTTAATATGAATGGTAAGAATGTATAAATTCAAAAATTGATCGTTGCTGATCATAATTTAACAATGGCAAGAAAGAAAACAAATCAATAGTTATTTAGTTCCTCGCTTTAATTGATTTTTTCAATAAAAAATGAATTATTTTACTTGTCAAATCTCATTAATAATAATAAAAAAAAATCATTTGATTGACAAGCCTACCATTTAAGACATGTCAATTCTCATTTAATAATAATTGTCATTAATACGCCATTTAATGCTCTCTCTCTTCTTTAAAAGGTTGAACCCCAACCTTAGGGGCCCTATCGACCCTATCCTGAGCCATTGTGGAGGAGGTAAATCGCAGAATGTGCCTCCAAGGAGTCAGGGTGGAGAGCACATGGATAGGCCAAGACTGTTAACTCATATGGTAACTCCCGCTTGCAATAAAGCCAATTCCACTTTGCGGGGAATCGAACTCTGCACACTGCCGCGCTGAGCCCAATCCGCCCTCCCCTTTGTCACTAGGAGATATGCCCTGGGGGCAAAACTGTGTAGGGTAAACTTTTTAAAGTGACTGGCCACACCGCACTGCGGCCCCATACTCCAGAAACCCCACCTCCGACCTGACCCTACGGGTTAGTATACACCGCTTGGCCCTACACGTATGGAGGGATTTTTTTGGAGAGGCACAGTACCACCATGCTGCTAAGAGGATTCGAACACGGAACCTCAGCCAGCAATGCCAATGTCCTTACCACTAGGGCAAATAGACATCGGCGCTCTCTCTCTTCTTTAACTATATTTTTGGTATGTTGTATATTATTTTTACATGGGTCTTGTGGTTCACTGTCGGGCCGTTGTACAAAAATCGGATCCGCCCTATATTATTGGTGGGCAACTCATGAACCAGCCAAGTTCGGTTATGGGTCGATTCTTGGGCTGATCCATTTGCGGGTGGGCTTAGTCGAGCCAAGCAAGCCCTCCCATTTTGACATGTCTAAATATAACAATCATAATAATTATGGCTGCAGGAGTATATAAATCATTTATAAATACTATTGTAATACAACAATAAGTTATTTGTAACACAAACTTTTAATTTTTAACTAAAAGGTGTTTATGTTACCCCAAAAATAATACATGATGTGTAAATTAACAAAACACGTGCGTAAAATGTAAATACACATGTTGTATTTTGGTAAATCTTCCTTTTTAACTAGATTTAGGAGGTGTAAAATAACAAAACACGTGTGCAAAATGTAAATACACGTGTTGTATTTGGTAAATCTTCCTTTTTAACTGGATTCAAATATTATCCTATTAATTATTACGATCAAATTTGATTAGTCAAGTTATCAATTTTGAAAAAATAATAAATGGCATTTAACAAAATAAAAAATTTTAGGTAACAAAGTTATAAATTGTTGTTTTCTCAATATGATAGTAATTCAATTTTTCCTTTTCAAATTATGTTCTCCTTCATGCCTACCTATAATCGCAGTTCGAATCATCTTTAAAAATTGAATAAAGTACACATGGGTTCTTGAACTTTTGAAGTTGTGAAGATCGGGTTTCAAACCTTTTATTTTGAACTCGGAATTCCAAACCTTACAAAGTCTGCCACGAGGTTATCTTGAGTTGAAAATCACTAACGCTACCGTTAAAAGATCAAATATTAATTAAAATGATCATACTACTCTTAGTATAGTTTAAAACAAATAAAGTAAAAGGCCGAAAATAAAAAAAAGGGTAAATTGTACGTGGGGTTTAAACATTTGAAGATAATGATGATGGGTTCCAAAACTTTGTTTTCTAGCACTCAAAATATTAAATCTTTCAAATTTCTGAATAAAGAATTCTCTCGAGGCGAAAATTGTCAATTTGATCTTTAGAACATCTCTAATAAACTCTCTAAATACAAAATGCTCTTTATTTTAAAGAATCAATGCTTAAAATTAAACTCCAAGGCTTTATTTTAACCTTTTAAAATAAAGAGTGTTTAATTCTTAAATTTTAGAAAGTCTCTCTCTCTCTCTCCCCTCTCTTAATATATAATTGCATTTAATAAATCACATTTATAAATACTTTACCTTTGAAACTATTGAAACCAAGTTTAAATTGATTGATCAATTGTCGTATAAACACTTAAAATAAAAATATGAAAGAAATTAATAAATATTTTTTGATAAAAGAAAAATGAAGAGATGGCAATTTGACAGGATCCAATTATTATGAAAGGCCAACTCATGAACTTACCCGGCAAAAAATGAATCTTCCATGCATTGCTCTACCGACACAGAGAGCGGAGAGAATTTAGCAGTCCAAAAATACACACCAAAACAAGTAAAATCCGTTTACATATTCATTAATTCATTCATATAATCTCTATTTTTATCCATTAATTCGTTAATAAATCTTTATTTTTGCCGCTCATTTCTCTTCTCCACCAAAGCTACACACACATACAATTTAAAGGACATTTACACTTTCTGTTCTTCACATTTCAAGCATTTCTTCTTGTCATAGGTTGTTTGATACTATTATTACGAACCCAGTTGAAGAATGGATGAATTTGGAGTTTTGGTAGAAAGTATTGGGTTCAAGGCCCTAGGGAAATCAGCTCCCATGGCCAAATTGAAGTCAAAACCGAATTTCAGCAGCAGCAACAATGGATTCTCGCAAAGCATAGGCATCAATTCAACGACACCTAATGATTCCTCCTCTTTCGTTGTTGATGATCTTGATGGGATTTTCAGATCCACTGCTAGTATCAGCAATCGAAAATCCCACAATCATTTTGATGACGATGATATTTTCGGCGGGCACTTTTCAAGTACGAATCAATCTGGGGGCATTGACTTGGATTCTGTGTTCAAGAGTTCGAGTAATTCTTCAAATTATAAGAATTCTTTCGGTTCCAATGGGCGTGATGACTTATTGGGCTCAACTCCAAGAGGATGGGATTCTGTTGATGATTTGTTCGGGAATTTAGGAACGAAATCTAGTGGTTTGAAGGGAAAAAAGGAGGAAAATGGGCCTGAATTTGATGTTTTGATACCAGGATATGGAGCAACCACCCCGTCAAACAATGGGTATGTGTTAAATGTGCTTGAATTTCGTGATAGGTTTCTGTTAATTTAGTTGCTCGTGTTGAGCAGTGGTTCAGCTGTGAATCATTTTCTTTATCATACGATTTCCTCAAACTTAGAGTTATTAGAGAAATCTGTTGATTCTATCATGACCGTAAATTCTAAATTATTTTTAATTGGGGTGTCATATGATTATATTAGTTGCATTTCATTTAAGAAGTATTATTAGCACATATGCTCTAGAAACAAGAATAAATAAGATAAAAAAGAAAATGTTTTGTGAAGTCTGGAACTGTAAGATTGATTCAGGCAACTCCCAGCCAATATAGGGTCTTGATCGGGGTGTGACCTTTCATGTAGAGAAAAGTAATTTAGGATACAAAAGAGCACAAGGAAATGTTGTCTTTGAATGAAGTAGTTGATGCAATTTTTGGACTTTAAGGTTGGCTTATGATTTGTTAGCCAATATATGCTTCAAAAAGAGAGATTTCAACCTTATATTTTTAAAAAAATTGGGCACAACTTAGTCAAACAGGATCCATCCTTACTAGGAGGGTGATTAGATCTTTGGACAAGGATTATAAGGTAATTTCTAGTGAGATTTTAACTACACAACATAGATTAGCAGTGCTTGATGTGGTTATTAACAAAGGGAAAGAAGTACCAAAGAGGTTCTATTTCATAGAACAAGAACGTGATATTTGCAGGGTGAAAAACAAGTGAATTTTGAAGGAAGGAAAAAGAGAGAGTTAGAGATTGTAACACAATATACAATAAGGTGCTAGAGACATTTGAAAGTAATGGTGTGATACTAAAAGAATCTAAAGGC